AGGAAGCGCGCGGGGCGGGGGCGGCCCCCAGGGGGAGGGTATGGGGGGGCCGGGCCACCGTCCTCATCTCGCGTGGGCGGGCTCCGAGGGGGGTCCCTTAAGCCCTGGGGGGAGGGGGCGGGCACCCCGGCTCCGCCCCACAAACAGGGTGCTGCCTCCTGGCGGCCGAGCGCTATCAAAGCGCTCCCAACGACCGGGATGCGTGTAGCTTTGAGGACTGTGCGGGTCAGCGAGAAAATGAAGACCTGGCCTTAATCAGAGGATGGGGACACAGCGTACAGGGGATCAGAGAAGGGGGACCCCGGGCAGAGAGAGTGGGAGGCTGAGGCAGAGGGGACAGGGTCAGCCAGAAGATGGGGACCCACTGGGGAGAGGGGGACAGAGGAGGGGGACCCCCAAGGAGAGGCAGTCATAAGAGGGTAACCCAGAGTGGGGAGGAGTCAGAGGTTGAGGCAGAGGATGGCGGTAGCGGGTCTGTCAGAAGGTGGGGGCCTGAGGATGGCAGGTGTCGGGGAGGATGGGGCACAGGACATCCGACAGATGAAGGAGGTCAGGAAGGCACCCACACTGGTGGGAACTGCTCTCCTTTATTGAGCACTTCCATGTGCCAAGCAGCCCCTTCTCACCCCTCCCCCTGTGACCCCACGTGCTTACTGCCCCGGTTTTACAGATGGGGAAACTGGACCTGAGAGGGCAGCCACTGGGCTGAGGTGGTAGCCAGGACAGAAGCTGCGCCATGCCTTGGCTGGGGTCAGGTGTGACAGTCTCCAGAGCCCACACTTCTGACCACTGTACCATCCTGCCCCTCACTGGGTCCAGGGGTGTGGATGGGGGTTGGCCGTCGGAGGCAGGGTCCCTCAACATTCAACGCCATAGCGGTCGAAGTGGCGCAGCAGTAGGCCCAGCTCAAGGTGCACGGTGCCACCGGCGGCTGTGTGCAGGCGATAGCGGTCCGCCCCACTGTAGATTGCATCCCCATGCAGCAGCTGAGGCCCGCCACCCACGAAGGCCCGTGCCAGCTGCTCCCGCCAGCTGCCCAGGGGCCGCCACGTGGGGCAGTCCAGCTGGTGGGTGCCTGGACTGCTGGGCACGTGGCAAAAGCCGTAGCCCGCAAGCTGGCAGCGGCCGAAGCTGTCCTGGGACCACACCTGGAGATGGAGCCGGGGCCAGCCTGCAGGACAGGAGGGAGAGAGGAAAGGAGGGATGGGTAAAGCCCAGCCTCCTGTTCCTGGAGACCCCAGGCCCAGTCCTTCCCCCCTGGGTTTCTGCCTCAGCCTCCTCTCTGGACTCCCAGCCAAAGGGATCTTTCTGAATCCATGTTCCTCCCCTGCTCAAAACTCTTTCATGGCTCCCCGGTGCCTTCAGTATAAAGTCCAACCTCAACATTCAAGACCCTTTGGATCAGGCCTCTGCTGACTTCCTTCTTTGTGGCCTCCTCGTCCATGTGCCCATCTCAGGGCAGCCCAGTCCCCAGGTGAGCACCTTGGGCCTTGTCCTGGACACCTCCTTCCTTTGCTCCCCATGGCCACACCCTGTCCCTGTCTCTGGGCTCAAGACCCTCTTTCTTCCCCCTCCAATCCATCTTCCACTTTTCTCCCCCTTCCACAGGTTTCCCAGTGTCCTTAGAATACAGTTCAGCTCCTCAGCCTGGTAGGCAAAACCCTTGGAGATCCGGCCCCATTCACCCCCCTTTCTGAACCCCCCTGTGCTGGGCCCTCTTCTAGAAGCTGAGGGACACAGCAGTGAGCAGAGCAGACAAAAATTCCTGCCCTTGTGTAGCTGACATCCTAGATAACAAACGTAGTAAAGAAGCAAATTATAGGGTATGTCAGGTGGTGATAACAGCTCTGGAGAAAAATAAAGCCGGGGGGGCGGGATGGTGGGGATGCAGTTTTAGAAAGAAGGTGATCAAGAAAAGGTTCATGGAGAAGGTGACATTTGAGCAAATGCTTAAAGGAGAGAAGGGAGCGGGCCATGTAGACATGTAGGGGAGTGCGCTCCCAGCAGAGGGAACAGCCAGGGCAAAAGCCTTGAGGAGGCAGCTGCCTGATGGGGCCAGGGTGCTGGAGCCCACTGAGAGGGGAGCAGGGGGAGGAGGTGACAGAGCCAGATCACGCAGGGCCTTGTGATTCCTGGTAAGCCTCTGGCTTTTACCCTGAGTGAGACGGGGTACCCGGAGGGCCCTGAGCAGAGGAGGAATGTGACCTGACTTAGGTGTTCACCGGGGGACAGACTCTGGAGGGTGGGGTGGAAAAATCACTGAAGAGCCTACTGTAATAGCCCAGGTGAGACATGAGGGTAGAAAAAGGTGAGGGTGGGAGGGAGAGGGGAGAAGTGGTGGGATGTTTGGCATTTCAAAGGTAGAGCCAACGGGATCTCCTGATGGACAGAATGGGGGGTTGAGAAAAGGAGAGGCAAGGATGATGCCCATACTGGGCGACTTGGGGTCCCTAAGAGCTGAAAGGACTGTTGCCTACCTCACCTCAAAACTCACAAGGCAGCCAGAAGGATCTTTTAAAAGCGAAATCTGACTTGTCAGTCGCCTGCTCTGGCTCTCTAGTGCCTTCAGGAGATGGCCTCAGCTCTGCGGCCTGGCATTCAAGGCCCTGCGTGGCCTGTCCTCTGTCCCCTGCCACCTCACCCTCTGCAGTCCTCCTGCAGGCACTCAGTAAATATTATTTATATTGTTGAAATATATGGCATATTTACCTAGGCTATTTCCTGGAATGCACTCCTCTCTAATGACCCAAATTTTCCACCAGAAAAGGTTTTCTGATACCCATCCTCCGCCTGCATGCTCATTTCCCCTCTGAGCAGCTGAGGAGCCCTTCCTGCCAACTGCTACCAGCCCTGCCTCTCCCCCTCTCATAAGCCCCTCCCAGCTTCCTCCTGATTGAAGACTCTCTTCATTTGTCTCTTTCAAAGTCACCTCCCTCTCCCCCTGGTCCCCACGCTCCCCTCTCCCCCACCACCCCTGGCCTCTGCCCTGGTCCCATGCACTCTAGAGCCAGCCTGGGGAGGCCTCCCCTCAGCCTCTCCAGGGCCAGGCCTGGCTGGAAAAGGGACCCAAAGGGCCTGGGGAGCAGGCAGAGGACTTGGAGCTCCCAGTCCCAGGAGCGGTGGGGGCTGCTACCCCCTCCCCTCAGCCTGGCCCGGGGCCCAGGCCGGGGACCCACCTTGGAGGCCTTTGGTGGCGAAGTGCAGGTCGATGGGGTGGGACCAGTAGGCCATGTCCCCTACTTGGGGGGTGTCCACCTGTGTTTGGCCCTCCCGCACGCCAGACAGGAGCTTCCATGCCGCCCCTGCAGTGAGAGCCAGGACATCACTGGGGCAAGGAGGGGTGGGTGACAGCCACCAGGAAGGGGATGTGACTGTGGCTGTAGGACCCCATTTCTCCCTGACATTAGGGGGCAGGGCTTACAAAGCATGGACTCTGGAGCCAAATGTCTGGGTTTAAATCCTGGCACTACTTCTTCCTGCCTGTGCAACCTTGGGCAAGTCACCTTTGCCTCAGTCCCCCTATCTGTAAAGTGGGTCTAACAATAACGCATTTCTCAAAGTTTTGTGAGAAGATTACATGAGCTGATACACGCTAAGCCCTTAGCACAGTCCTGGGGCATGGTAAGTGCTAGATAAGTGTTGGATATCATCTTATTACTGTTCTCACCCCACATGGTGCAAGGACTAAGACAGGGCTAAGGGTGCTCTCCCCAGGCACATGGAGAAAGGTGCATGATAACAGCGATCCCACTGAGGCTGATAATAATAGCAAAAATGCGCTGGGTGCTTACTCAATGCCAGACGCTGTGCTAAGCGCTTTAGGAATGAATTCATTTAATCTGCCCTCTGGGACTCTTAATCCCCACCCTGGCCCCCAGTTTACCCACTCTCCTCCACAGCCCACAAGGCCTGTGTAGCCTGGCCTGTGCCCCCTTCCTCAACTCAGCTCCCATCACTCTCCCCAGCCCTCGCCACCCTTGGGCCTCACTGGTCCTATTTTTGTTCCTGTCCTCGGGCCTTTGCACTGGCTGTTCCCTCTGCCAAGAAAGCTCTGCTCCTGGATGTCCCCATGCCTGGCTTTTTTTTTCATCCTTCAGGAACCAGCTCAAGTGCTGCTTTCGCAGAGGGGTTCTCCCTCACCCCCCTTTCCCCAAACTAGTCTCCATCACATCATCTCTTCCCATTTCTTCCTAGTGCTTACCACGATCTGTCATCACTGTGCCCGTTTCTTTATCTGCTGATTTATTTTCTGTCTCCCCTACTGTGAGCCCCAGGAGAGCAGGGATCTTGTACACTGCTAGGATCCCCTGGACCTCCAACCCAGATCTTGGTATACAGAAGGTGCTCAACAAATGTTTGTTGGACAAATAAGTGATCCTAGGAGGCAGGTGCTAATCCAATCCTCATTTTACAGGTAAAGAAACCGACTCTAAGAAGGAAAGTCACTTGGCCATTCATTCCATGAACATTCATTGAACACCTACTGTGTGCCAAGCACTGTTCTCCACGTTGGGGATACAGCAGGACCACACACCTAGGTCCCACAGTGGAGCTGGATTCAAACTGAGCTCTGTCTGACTGCAGAGTTCAATCCCTTTATCCGACTGCCCCTGAGCTCTCTGCTAGATTAACTACCTCGCAAGAGCCCCCTGAAATAATAAAAATCACGTTAGTTACTGCTCCCTTCTGGGCCATGCAAGGAAAGTGCCAGGCCCTGAGTCTAGTTCTTCACATGCAAGACTTCCCAACATCCCTATGAAGGACAAACGTTCCCACTTTACAGAAGAGGAAACGGGGGCTCCAAGACGGGACAGCTGGACTGGAACCCAAGTCTGACTGGGCTCAGCTGGAGGACCCCAAATTCCCAGGCAATCTCAACCAGCACCCTACCCACCAGTGAAATCACCAAGGACCCGGGGCCTGAAGACATGATAATGGCAATAGCCACACTCGTAGCACGGGCATGTTCCTGTGCCAAGCAGCATACCTGGGCTTTAAAAATAAGTCCCACCCAATTGTTACAGGAGCCAGACACTCACTGAGCACTTACTAAGCCAGGCCCTCTTCTAAATGCTGGTGATGTCCACTTAGTCCTCACAACAACCCCATGAGGTAAGTATTGTGATTATTCCTATAGTACAGACAGGGAAATTGAGGCAAAGACAATGCCCAAGGTCACATAATTAATAAGCCACAGCTGGTTTTGAACCCAGGCAGTCTGTGCTCTTAACCTCAACACTCTGCTGCCTCTTAGCTGCTGTTAGCTTCATTATCAGACAAGGAAGGGAAGGCTCAGGGCAGTCAAGTCCAAAGTCCCCCAATGAATAGGTTCGTATTTGAGCCCAGATCTGGCAGCCTATGGCCCTAACCATTATGCTGCACCACCATGCTATACTGCCTTTGATGGGGAGGCATGAAAATTGGAGCCTCTGAGGTCCCTCCAGGGGCTGTGTGGATGGACTTGTATGACAGCCAGAATGGGGTTCCTACATTCCCACAGAGAATTATGAATACAGGAGGGTGGCCTCTCCTGTGTAAATCTGGGATGAAAACTTCCATTTTACAGTAAGAACTCAATAAAGTAGAGGCTGTTAAGCAAAGAATTAAGATGGCAGAGGGACCCAAGGCACCCCTAAGACAGGGAGCAAAGTCCCAACAGTGGGGTTAGGGCTGTCTACTGTTTTGAGGATTGGAAGTGTGTGTGGGGGGGTCTAGCCTGTAGTCCCCATCTTTAGGGGCTGTGTGTTCAGAGAGTGGGAGTCAGAGCCCCCAGAGATGGGATAGGAAGGAATAAGAAGGGAGCCTGAGAATCACGTGGACAGTGTGGTCAGGCTAGGAGTCCTGAGAGCCAATGGAAGATGCAGAGCAGGGAATGGTCAGGGCGTCAAGGAAGGAGGGTGGAGCATCTAGGCTAGGGGGCTCTTGGTGGGGAAATGAACCAGGCCCGGAATACCTGTGTGGACGCCCCACTTGCAGAAGAGGCTACTTTCCGAGAAACCTGTGGCACCCAAGATCTGCCCGATCACGTGCACCTCAGCCATGGCCCTGAGAGGGGAAAGATATAATCACAGCCCTCTGAGATACGGGTATTATTATGTCCACCTGACAGATGGGAAAACTGAGCCCCACGGAGGAAGGGGCTGTACTAGGATTCCAAGCTAGTTTCGTCAAACCACTGAGGCAGCAGTCTTAACCATGATCCTAACTGCCTCGCTAGGAGAGCCCCGGATAAATATGAGGAGCTGGGCTGAGAAGGTGGCGTCTGACTTTGCCTGCCTTAAAATAACCTTTTCCTCTTGCTCATTACGACGGAAAGCCCCGCCCCAGGGGCCTATGGCTCCGCCCACAAGCACAGAAGCCCCGCCCCCTCGCGTCAGATCGCCCAAGCTCCATGAGGCGCACGCGTTTTAAGTGCCTGGCCGCCTTAGCCCCGCCTCTAAGCCCGCGCATGCGTTATTCCTACCTCAGAGCACTTAACGGTTAGGAGGGGCGAAAGCGGCAGTGGGGCTTGGAGTTCATGGGCCTGACCTGTCCCTCTCTCCGCCGGCGCTGAAGTCCCAGGCCTGGTTCGCCCCTCTCCCAGGACTTTCCCGGCAGTGAGAGATCTGAAGCAGTGAGATCCCTCCGAGCCGCGCCCGCCTCCGGGCTCCCTGCTTGTTGCTGGGGCAACAGCAGCCTCTTCCCCTGGCCTTGCACCCGCCCTGCGCGTCGCTAATTGGCCCTAGCCGTCTTCGAGGGTGGGGCTAAGCTATGATGGACGTTTTCTCTCCCCCGCTGTCTCCATTTTGGGAAAAGTGTCTCTCCAGCCACGACCCACGGTTCCGCCTTTTGGGGCGTGGCCGGGCAGCTGCCATCTTGAGTGTGGCTGAGGAAGTTTGAGGGCCAACTGTTTCTTCCAGTAACCCTCTTTACAAAATAAGCGAAGACGTCGATGCCCTATGCTCCCCTAAACTCTCTCCCAACCGGACCACAAGTCAGAGACTTGAGCCAGGAATAAGAGGGACTCTTTCTCAGGTCATTGTGTGCATCCCCCTGCCTCATAACTGGAAAAAAGATCCTTCCTCTTTCAGAGAGACTCGAGAAGTTGGGCAGGGGGGTTTCCTTCCTTTTTTAGAGTTCCCCCAGGCTCCTCAAGGACTGATAAATCCAACTTCCTTCTCAGAAATACTGCCCAGTTCAGTTACTGCTGGCTCTGAGCAAGGAGGCGGGTGTGGGGGCAGGGGTATGAGAAATGAGGAACTGCGGCCCCTTTTTCTGCAGAAAATCTGGTTCTTGAAGACTAGACTCTGCCAGTGTCTTATCTTGTGGCCTTGCACGCCTTTGTGTCTCCATTATCTCATCCATGTAATGGGCGCAAGGAGACTGTCAGCGGCCCTGATACGTTCTGATTTCCTGAGCAGGGCCTTTCCCGCCCCCTAAGTGCAGTTGAACCTTAGTTACTCCTCCAGCCCAGACCAGGAGTCCAAAGGGAACTTTTTCTCCTACTTTTTAGCAAAACGGGACCACAAAAGTTCGAGTCACCAGCTCAAAGTTATAGGGAGGGGGCAACATTTCAATAGTATAATATTTATATAAATAATTTAATAGGATAATATTTCACTAATAGATATATTTGAAAGCTACCATTTATTGAGTGCTTTCTCTGCGCCAGCCCCTGTAAACTGATCGTTTTGCATGCATGGTCTCCTTTAATCCTTGCAGGGTAGGTAACATTATTGGCTTTATTTAAGATGAAGAAATTGGGGCAAAATCTTTTGTCTTAGCCAAATCGATCACAGTTCTGTCTGACTCTTTAAACCTTGCTTTAAACCTTGTGTTCTCAACCTTTCTGCTATCCTGCCTCTCTTGGATACACGTCTCCCAGTGTCAAAGGAATATGGAAGTTGTGCCTGGGTGTCCTCCTAGACTCCATCACTTCCCACATGCGACAAGTCATCAAGGCCTGTCAATGCTCCTTCTTAAATATTTTTTCTTCAATTGGTTTCTTCCCCACTGGGTGATATTAGTGATTAAGAAAAAGGTTCCCAGGGGCTGGCCCTGTGGCGTAGCGGTTAAGTGCACGCACTCCCCTGCAGCGGCCTGGGGTTGGGATCCTGGCACTGAGGCACCGCTTGTCAGGCCACGCTGTGGCGGCATCCCACATAAAGTGGAGGAAGATTGTCACAGATGTTAGCCCAGGGCCAGTCTTCCTCAGCAAAAGGAGGAGGATTGGCATGGATGTTAGCTCAGGGCCAATCTTCCTCACACACAAAAAAAAGAAAATGGTTCCCAAGTCAATTGCCTGGATTTAAGTCTCGGCTCTGCCCCTTCTATGTGACCTTTAGCCTCTTTGTGCCTCAGTTTCCTCATCTGTAATGTGAGGTTGAATGATAGGACCCACCTTGTTGGACTGTTGTCAGGATTTGATGAGCTAATGGATGAAGCTGTTTTGAAATAATGTCCACAGCTTCTTTGACACCCCTTCTTTCAATAGGTGGAGACTAATTCCTCTCCCATCCAGTATGGGCTGCACTTAGTAACTTGCTTGTAACAAATAGAGTGTGACAAAAGTGTTGCTGGGTGCCTTTTTTTGTTTTTTGTGAACAAGATCAGCCGTGAGCTAACATCCATGCCAATCCTCCTCTTGTTTTTTTTTTTTTTTTTGGCTGAGGAAGACTGGCCGTGAGCTAACATCCGTGCCCATCTTCCTCCACTTTATATGGGATGCTGCCACAGCATGGCCTGACAAGTGGTACATGGGTGCGCATCCGGGATCTGAACCTGGGCCACCAGCAGCAGAGTGTGCACACTTAACCGCTACGCCACAGCGCTGGCCCTGCTGGGTAACTTCTGAGACTGGGCCACAAAAGGCATTGAGGCTTCCTCCTTCCTCTTTTTCTTGGATCACATCACTGAGGGAGGTCCACCACCATGTTGTGATGATGTTACTGCGCAAAGGGCATGATCTGCTTGCCACAAGACAAAAGCCAATCGTCAAGAGGCAAGATGGTGGCAGAGAAAGGGCATTTATTAAGCAATAAGCTAGCAAATTGGAAGATGGGGGACTAGCGTCCTAAAGAACCATCTTAAGGGGAGCACAGCATCTTGAGGCAGTTCTGTAGGCCAGTGGGTTATGCAGGAGGGGGTTAGGAATGTTAGCCCTCTGGTGTTAGACTGGGAGTTGCCACACCAGATCTTTCCATTGTCATTGATGATGGCTATCAGCATAGACTCTCTGCCCAGGGGGTCATCACGTTACTTATCACAGCTGACAGGTACATACACAAGCAGGGGCCATAAAATCTACAGAGCATGTACATCGCCTGAAGGGTGCATATCCAGCTGGGTCAGTGAGTCAGAGGTCATTGAGAATTACAATATGGTTTCTTTTCTACAATGTGGCTTCCCTTATGTCAATCTTGTGTTGAGACGGTATCAAAGGCGGTGAAGCAGCCACTTGAGAGACCCAAATGGGGAAGAACTGAGGCCTCCTGCCAGCAACCAGCACCATGTGAGTGACCTATCTTGGAAGCAGATCTTCTAACCCCAGTCAAGTCTTCAGATGACTGTATATAGCTATGGCCAACATGCTGACTGTAACTTCGTGAGATGTCCGGAGCCAGAACCACCCAGCTAAGCTGTTGCCAGATTCCTGACTGACAGAAACCATGTCAGATGATATACGTTTGTTGTTTTAAGCCACTAAGTTTTGGGGGATAATTTGTTACGCAGCAAAAGATAGCTAATACGAGTATGTAATGAATTTAGGACAGTGCCTGGCACATAGGAAGCACCATAAATATTTGCTATTATTGATGGCTTTTACTGTTGTTATTATTAGTGAAATGGCATATTTTACATATTATTATTATTATTATTTTTGGTGAGGAAGATTGTCCCTGAGCTAACATCTGTGCCAGTCTTCCTCTACTTTGTACATGGCTTGATGAGCAGTGTGTAGATCCACACCCAGGATGTGAACCCCTGAACCCCGGGCCACCAGAGCAGAGTGCATGAACTTAACCACTATGCCAGCAGGCCAGCCCCCACATATTCTTTTTTTTACAAGAATCACACTGAATACTTATTTATTTACTTTTTATTTTTAAATTTTTAAAAAATGTGGTTGGAGCTGGCCCAGTGGCACAGTGGTTAAGTTCATGCACTCTGCTTCAGCAGCCCAGGGTTCGCAGGTTCAGATCCCCAGTGTGGACCTAGGCACTGCATATCAAGCCATGCTGTGGCGCCGTCCCATGTACAAAATAGAGGAAGATGAGCACAGATGTTAGCTCATGGCCAATCTCCCTCACCAAAAAGAAAAAAATGTGGTAAAATACACATAAAATTTACCATCTTAGCCATTTTTAATTGTACAGCTCAGTGGCATTAAGTACATTCGCGTAATTGTGCAACCAATCTCTAGAACTCTTTTCATCTTGCAAAACTGAAACTCTGTAACCATTAAACAAAAACTCCCCATTCCCCCCTCCCTTCTGTCCCTGGTAACCACCCTTCTACTTTCTGTCTCTATGAATTTGACTACTCTAGGTAACTCATATAAGTAGAATCATTCAATATTTGTCCTTTTATGACTGGCTTATTTCATTGAGCATAATGTCCTCAAGGATCATCCATATTGTACCACATGTCAGAATTCCCTTGCTTTGTAAAGCTGAATAATATTCCAATGTATATATACACCCTGTTTTTTTAATCCATTCACCTGTTGATGGACACTTGGGTTGCTTCCACCTTTTGGCTGTTGTGAATAATGCTGCTATGAACGTGGGTGTACATATATCTCTTGAAGACCCTGCTTTCAGTTCTTTGGGGTATATACCCAGAAGTGGAATTGCTAGATCACGTGGCAATTCTATTTTTAATTTTTTGAGGAACTGCCATACTGTTTTCCATAGTGACTGTATGTATTGTTTTACATCTTGCTTTTTTCACTCAGCGATACGTCTTGGAAATTTATAGACCGTGTCAGTATGTAAAGCTCTAACTCACTCTTTTTCAAAAATAACCATTTGAAGTATAATATATGTACAGAAAAGTGCACAAATCATAAATGAACAGCTGGATTCAATTTCATAAACTCAACACACCTAGTAACCAGAATTCACTTCAAGAAAACATGACCAGCCCCCCAGGATGCCCTTCATGCCTCCTCCAGGATGCCCCCAAGGGTAATCACTAACTGAACTTTTTTTTTTTTTTTGGTGAGGAAGAGTCACCCTGAGCTAACATCTGTTGCCAATCTTCCTCTTTTTGCTTGACATGTGTTGCCAATCTTCCTCTTTGTTTTTTTTTTTTTTTTATAATTT